GCCTGATTCTGGGCTGGGTACCTCCTGGCCCCAGGTTCTGTGTATAAAGAGGGTGACTATAAGGCAGTTTCTGCTGTAGTTGGCAGATGAAGTACTGTTAGGGGGGAAGGGTGTCCCGAAGGAATTCTGCGGTTTTGTGGACTCTACCCCTCACTCCAGTTTTGTGGACTCCACCCCCTACTCCAGTCACTGAAACTACAACTCCCAGCAATACCATAGGGAGAAATGCAAGGACCCAAGGGCAGATCTAAGCAGGCATTCTGGGACTTTTGTGGATATAATTGAGGGAGCCATGTTAGACTCTCTCTCCTGGACCACGTGACTGGTGGCTGGTCGTTTGGCTCTTGATGAGCTCTCAGTGTGTTATCAGTGTTGCAAGTCAGTGGAGTTGGTAGGATGCTCTAGTTAACTTGTATCTCTCTCTCTTTCTCTCTCTTTTTCTAGGCTTTCTTCCCCCCCTCCCATTATTGACCCTTTTTGTGTGTGCCTGCAGTATAATTGAATTTTAAGCACACGGGTGAGGACCCAACGACAGGCAGCCCAGTTCACACTGGGTTGCCCTATACCGCATTGATGATTTCTTGCTTCTCAAGCTTTACCCCCAAAGCAAACAGGATTTGCCTTTCTGTGGATGGTTATGGAGGAAAAGCTGGGTTTAGGCAAACAAAATCTAAAATAATGCAGACCTGGAGACAACACATCCTGGTTGAAATCTGTACGGCCACCTAGCTTGTCAATAAGGTTTTATTGGAAAACATATTTGGTTTTTATTGTGTCTTTCAGGCCACTTCAGCAGCAAAGTCAGAGAATTGCAACAGAGACCTTCTGACCCTCAAAACCTGAACTTTTAGTTTCTGCATTAAAAAATTCACTGCCAAGGGGACTACTAAAGATAACGTTAAGGAACATTTCCCCAGCTGCTCTGGGATTCCCAGGGTTATTCCTCATCACTTTATTAGAACAGAAAAAAAATGTCAGGTATAATCAGTTTGAATAATAATTTTATAGTTTACAAAGCACCTTTATATTCTTTGGAAGAACCACAGCTATTGATTGCTTTTTCATAAAATACGGAAGCTGAGGTACAAGGAGACTCAGGAGTTGTCCCTCTTCTGATCGAGGTAGCCAAACTGGGATTCTGAGCAGGGTCTTTTACAAATTACCCACAACTCCAAAAATATTCATTTTTTTTTTTAAAGATTTATTTGTGCATACAGAACTGGGGTACAGGCCAGAGGCTCAGGGGCGACGAGAGGCTTCACCAGAGACAGAGTGGGGAGCAGAACAGGCAGATCGACGAAGTACACTGCTGAGGGGGCAGCAGGCGGGCCAGGAGAGGTCTGGCTCGCCATGTGGCTCCTCCGGGGCAGGAGGCAGGCGGGAATCGAACTCACGCAGAAGTGGCTTTAGCTTCTCAGTGCTGTGCTTTAACCCGCCATGCCACCAGGGAGGGCCAGCATATTCATTTTTTAAATGGACCAGAAGCCCAATCCCCGGGGCTCTGGAGGCCTTGAGCTAAGGCGGTTATGCATGGCCCTAGGAGCTACCTGAAGCAGCCCCAACCTGGGCGGAGCCAGGTTGAATACCAGAGCTCCTGCCACAGGCTCAGCTGTGCTCCCTACAGAGAGAGCCCCAAGAGGGCTCCCAGGCTTCTCCAGAGACACCACAAGTGGTTGTCTGCCCCAAAGCTGGCCAGCCCTGAGGCTTTAATGGTGGTCCTGGCTGCTTGAGCGGGAGAGCTGGGCCCTCTTGGGGCAGCCCTGACCTCGTGCTACCTGGAGCCACAGGTAGAGAGGCCGACCAGCCAATACACCAGGTTCCCAGCAGGCAGCCTGCCCTGCAGCCCCTGGGTCTGTCCCAGCACTACTGCTGGGCGCCTGGCTTGGTCAACCCAGCCCCACTTAAGGGAGCCAGGTGGAGTGTGCCTCCCGCCCCACTGAGGCCCGCTCTGGCCCGTGAGGCCGCCCTAACCTTCATGCTTTAGTCCATGAATCTACTGTACATTCTCAATCCCAGACAAACTCTAGCGACACCCTTCAAAGCTAACTCATTTGTTTTTCCACCTTCTCATGCCCTATTAATGCCCGACTCTCTCACCCCAGGGAACATTCCCTCAAGAAATCAGTGCTAATCTGATCGCCAAGATCAGCAGTTCTTTGTGTCAAGTTCGCTTTGCCTAATACTTGACTGTTGGTTCTACATTCTTGAAAGTCTTTTCTCTCGGTGTTTTTGTTGTTGTTGTTTTGTTTTGTTTTTTATGAATCTAATCTTCTCTATCACACATCTCTCAGGTCTGACCTATGTTGTCTCTCCCTAGTCTCCTGCCTGCTATTTCAAATGCTGCTGCTCCCCAGGCTTCAGGTGTTTTATCTTCTCATTCACAAGCCCTTCCAGGGCAGTCTCCCTTTACCCACTCCCACAATGATGCCTCTCCATTGTTATTCTGACTCCTGAACTGCCTGACTGCAGAGTCAGGTTTCAAATATCCCACAACTATGAGTACTGCAAAGCCCCCCCCCACACACTCAAATTGAATATGCCAGAACCAAAGTCATTCTCTGTTTTTTCTTACTCCTTGCCTCACAAAATGGCAACAGCATACTGCCAGGCTACTAACTGAACATTATTCTAGACTCCTGATGATCTGCATACAATCAGCAACCAAGTCCACCATGTCCCCACTGTCTGCATCTCTGTTCCTTTCCTTTAATCATGGTTTCCATGGAGACCAGCTGAGGCTAGGACTTGGTTCTCACCCATTTCCACTAATGCAAGTATCTTTCAGGTAACACTGGTTTATAATACAGTATATGATTTAGGGGAGTAGGTTCACATCTCCTCAGATGTGTGTCACCACCCACACCCACCACAAAAGCACCCATAGTCCTCTGCCATAAGGCACTGGGACTCCTCTCCCCTTTATTTCCACCCCACGCTCCTGCGGCCTGCATGTTTCTGGGGTTCACTTGGTTTAATCAGTCCCTCTATTTCGCTGTATTCCACATATCAGTAAAATTTCCAGTATTTGCTTTCTCCTTCTGACTAATTTCACTTAGCTTTCACTCCAATTCCATCCATATTGTCGCAAATGGCAAGATTTCATCTTTCTATGGCTAAATTAAATTCCATTATGTATAATTTACCACTTCTTATTCCACTGATCTGTCCTTTGGGTGCTTAGAATCTGAACTTCACGCACTAGCCTTCAACCTTAGAGTGGCTTTCACTGTGCACATACATGCAGATTCTCAACATCGGATGCATAGGGTGGCCTGACATGTCTCTAGTCATTCTCAACCCTTTCAAAATTGCATCTCTACAAAATGTTCTCTAGTTCTGTCCCTCTGTAAGTAGATATATTTCTTTTCCAAAATACCTGCTCTCCCTTGTGCGCCCAGAGAAGTGCTACTCTTCGTGTGTCATCACCTGCTGAAGTTCACGTATCGCCACTTCCATCAGAGCAAAACAGCTTGCACAAATCTCTGTGTCCACATTGTGCTGTGATGGAACTTTGCTTTCAGAACTGCCTTTCCTACTA